TTCTTTCTCTGTCGAGATGTAATTCCTGCGAGCGCTACGCGATTTCCCGTCGTGATGCTCGTTCGATGTGCGTCCTCGATGACGGCCCCAGACAGACAGGTGTACGTAAATTTGACGCCAACTTCGCTAGTCGATTCGTAAAGGTCACGTGTCTCTCATGGGTGACCCATATGGCACTCATACTTATCACACAAAATAGAAAAACATGGAAAAAATGCGGAAAAAATTGTAATTATGTAATTTTAAGTAAATTTGTTGATGATCAATCTGCATTTTTGTATAATGTATTGTGTGATGAATTAATGGATCAATTCAATAGAATATATTTGTTTCCTCAGTGTAATTGAAACGACAGTAAAAAACTTCCATTATCGATTGTCTCACGTCGTGGTAATCATGAAATTCTGTCTGGGGCGAATCCGTCAAATTTTTTGCCGCGCATTTACTCGGGAGCGATTTTCACGCGCGACTTTCCTAGAGAAATAAATTACACGCGGTAGTAGCTTCTTCCATTCTTTCCTTTCTCCCTTCCCTGCTTTCCACCTTCTCTTTCTCTTCCCTTCTTTCATTCTCTCTCTCTCTCTCTCTCTCTCTCTCTCTCTCTCTCTCTTTCTCTCTTGCTCTTTCTCTTCCTCTCGCTCGCGCCAGAACGCTTCATTGAAAGCAGATCACGTAGACCGACATAAACACGCGCGACTAGTGCAATCTGCACGGGTGTCTCGTATCTAATTCGCTTTCTTAAGCTTTATAGCGGCTATTCTATTGTCTACGGGCGCCATTAATTTCGCTAATGGTTAATCGATAGACAGCCGAGTTGCGGGTGCTATCCTACGGTCGCAGTTCAACGTGTAATTGTACGGATTCGAGCGATCCGCAGGAAGCAAGAAGTACAATAAAGCTACAATAAAGGCACCCACTCTCTCCCCCCTCTGTCTCTCTCTCTCTCTCTCTCTCTCTCTTTCTCGCACTCGCACAGTACTATAGCCGTAGAGTACGAACGGCAGTCGGTAGTTAGACACCTGTTCGCGGTACCGAGACTGCACACAGACACGCGCTCGCGATCGTTGCGCGTCCGACTAGAACGAGAGGCGGTGGAAAAAGGCAACGAGACGAGGGACAAGACACGAGAAGGAGAGAAAGCGAGAGGGAGAGGAAGAAGGAGAGTCGATCGGGAAGAGGAATTATAACCGGCGAGAACGGAAGGCGCTATTTATTATCAAGCCTTGCGCGGAGCACAATGGCTCGCGCGCGACTGCTGATTGATGTTCTCGCCTTTAGTCACTGTCCGGCGCGCTATATTTACAACAATCCGCGTAACCCCCGTACATCATCCCCCAGGGGGTCGAAGGTGGCGAGGGAAGGTGAAGAAGGGCGACTCGCCGCGACGAATGGAGTAACACTCGCGCGTGTACGATCGAATTATTCGCTCTCATTCGGCCCTATTCGACCCCCGTTCTCTCACCTGGTCGATTCTCTCCCGCTATAAACTTCGCTAATTAAAGTGATAGAATTATTTAACGATGGTGTGCAAGCCGTTCTCGATATGAATACGGGAGAGCGAGGGCGCGCTGCCGCGCGCTATTTACACAATTTCGAAATATTACGCCGGTTTCGGCGGTGCAATTTGCGCTTCGCTCACAAAGGGAACCTATCCCGGTACCGAATGAGCGAGCGCGCCGATTTAGCGCTAGGTTATTAATTATTTACGTGGCGAATTCATCGCGAGAACGATATGACCGACAATTACGCGCAATGAGAACTCGGAGAAAACCCGCGCGGCGAAAACCCGAATCGAAATTTTGATTCTACTTTCGACCTCAGTGTCACGTTTAAACGTCTATTTTGCTATTCTGAAGCCTATGTCGGGCCCTTTTGGTTCTACCTAAAGTACTAACTTTGCCGATAAGTCTTCTTTAGGACCTACAAGTGGCATTTTGTGCGCTTCCTGCTATTTAAGTTTGATCCGCAATGTGTTCGTTGCTTCCTCTTTCTTCTCCCTTGTCTCTCTGACTCAAACCTTAAACTTTCAACCACGGAGAAGACACGGAGAACAAGAAACAAACTGCAAAGAGCACATTGTAGATTATGCTTTAGAGGCGCTGAATAGGATTTTCATGTACCGCGTATACGCCGATTCTTCAGAATATACGGATGTTGGAGAGCTCTAAAGTAGGGCCAAAATTTCGACTCGAGAACGCTCGCGTTGTCTCGCCTGCCACGATATCTCGTTCGATCGATCGATCGCACGTCGCTTGAGTAATCAGTTTGGAAGAGTCGTTCAACGTTAGAGATCGTTCTACTCGCGATTTGCGCGCACACGTGCATGTGTGCGTGTGTATACTTCGCACGTGCACCTTGCGCATACACATACACACGCGAACTTACGTGACGAGAATTAGTTACTGCACGGAAGCAACCAGTGGCGTACTTGCCACAGTTGTAGATTTCCAGCAAACGCTCGCCGCTGCTCCCGAAAATTTTCTCGACTTTACCTCGGCGACGTGGAAATTCTCCCATGCGCGCGAATCTTTCCCGTTTTGTCGTTCCGACTGTAAATTTATCCCACGTTCTAATCAGTTATCTATAGTTATTGATTCTTAATTATTAATACACTGAGAGAAAAAAGTTATGAGAGTTTAAAACGAGAGTCATTAAAATTACAATCATTTTTGGCGTCAACTGTATCTTCTCGTTGTTTAAACGAAAAGCAGCAGCAATATGTATGTAAAGTTATTATTATTGGCTTGCGTAACAAGTAATTTCGGATTTGTCAGACAAAAGGAAACGCTTGTATTTTTATGTCATTATAATTTTATGAAAGAATATGCATGTAGTTCTGATCCATGATCTTTTGCCATCCTTTGTTTCATAAAATTATAACGATATGAAAATACAATCCTTCCATTTTGCTTAAAATACCAAAAACTATTTTTTACACGACCCAATATGTAATGTACTGTAATATACTATAGTAATACTTACTGAAGAATGTTTTTCATGATCATAACTCCCTCACTATGCGGTCACAGTCACAAATACCAAACATCTTTCTTTAAAGTAAAGTCTAAATTAGAATTAAGCTTTATTATTAATAAAGTTCCACGTTATGTAGACAACTTATTAGAGCTTGCTAACATCGCCTTACACAAAACAGATAACTGATCGGGATCAAGCTGATCAAGACCATGATATCACTTTCTAGTCGGCATCATACTTATCCCAGAGTGACGCGACAAGTCAATACGGTTACCGTATTCGGCGCGCTCGCGTGTGTAACACGCGGCGGCGAAATTGCGGACAACGCCGGCCGGGATGCGCTTTCCGCATCGTCACTATCGCGATCATTTAACTCCCCGAGCGGGCCTCGATAACGTAAGCGCCCGTTCTCTCTCTCTCTCTCTTTCTTTCTCTCGTTCTCTCGCACGCTCGTTCGCGCGTCCGCTTTATCTCTCGCCCCTATCTCGCGAGAGGCCGCATTATTAATTGCGTGCCGGCGGAGTTGCTCAATTGCCGAGAAATTGCCGGGCACAAAGCGCCTCTCGCTGAGTCCGAGCGCGTCGTGTCGCGTCGCGGGTCGGCCGGTCAGTACGCGCGACGAAAGGGCAACGTGTCCCGCGGCCGATTGCCGACGTAGACACACGCGGCGATAATAGATCGCAAGAAGCACCTGGTGTGTGGGTGTGCAAAGGTCGCGTGGCTCGACGAGGATCACGCGAACCTCGCGACACGACCGCCGCCGCGAGCTGTCAAGGTGACGGCCGATGCTCGTCGCTCTTTGTGAATGCTGCGAGTCTGTGCGCGCAGTGTATTGACTTGTAACTCTTTTGGATCGATATCTGACCATGTAATCTAATCATCATGCAAAATTATCGTTAGATTGCGCAATATGTGATCTCGTATTTCGGTCAGGCGAAGTGAACGTTTGTACTTTTATGTCGTTCCTGTTTTACGAAACGACACTGAGAAAAAATATTTGGTATTTGTAACTATATAATCACACAGAGACGATCACTATTATACTTAGGAAATATCTTTTTAATCAAATTCAAGTAACGTTAGTGATAATAAATTAATATGTATGTTACCATTTTCAACCAGGAAATATGGTTAGGGCTAAAAAGCTGTAATTTTAGCTAGATCGACCGTTAATTTCTCTCAGTGAATGTATGTGTGATTCTGATCTATGATCTTTTGCACACATCGTTCGCACACATTGTTTTATAAAATAATAACGACATAAGAATGCAATTGCTTTATATTTTGCCTGAAAACTTCGAAATTACTTATTATACGACCCAATAATAGTGTTGTTCGACAATTTGAGCGCTTGACAGAGTTAATCCAGGATGCTGAATAAATCTTGCTTATATTTTCTTTCTTTCTTTCGCTTGCACAGTCGAGAATTTTTTTTTAAATATTATCGTCTTTCACCCTTAAGAGAAGTCGTGCAGTCGCGCGATGGTCCTCTTTAAAGCGTGTCGCGGAGTCGCGCTGATTGCGACTCGATTTTGAAGCACAGTTGCGAAGCGCACACTTGTCCTCGCGGTGAAAAGCGTCGACTGAAACGCGTTCTCTTCTGTTTCGTCGGCGAGAGAACTATGCAACGGGAAAGCCCATCGAGAGTTTCCGATCTCTCATCGTCCTTGTCGCAGCTCTAGTGCTCCGAGAAATCGCTCCGCGTTTTTAGAAACGCAAAATTGAGCTTCGCGTGTTCGCGGCTGATTCTTCCCCTCGGTTAATTTCCCCGTCAGAGAAACGCCGTGGATGCGTTCGATCTCGCGTTACCGAAACTAATTAAACTGGAGCACGCATTACGAGTGGCCGATCGGGCCGGATAATTAGTAACATCGGGGGAGAGAAAGCGAGAGATAGAGAGAGAGAGAAAGAGGAAGTAGAGAAGGTCAGAATTTCACGCGTTTTCTCATGTGCGACGATACTGCGACGTGTACTGGAGTCGCTCGCACTTACTGGCGACGTGGACGACGGTAAAAGGCACTCACCTTCAGTGACAGCAGTATACGTCGTCGTCGCGAGCTTCGTCAACGTGCTTCGCAATGCCTCTTCTCGTCGGTGTCTGTCTTTTCTTCCTTCCTTCCTCCCTTCCTTTCCTTCCTTCCTTCCTTCCTTCCTTCCTTCCTTCCTTCCTTCCTTCCTTCCTTCCTTCCTTCCTTCCTTCCTTCCTTCCTTCCTTCCTTCCTTCCTTCCTTCCTTCCTTCCTTCCTTCCTTCCTTCCTTCCTTCCTTCCTTCCTTCCTTCCTTCCTTCCTTCCTTCCTTCCTTCCTTCCTTCCTTCCTTCCTTCCTTCCTTCCTTCCTTCCTTCCTTCCTTCCTTCCTTCCTTCCTTCCTTCCTTCCTTCCTTCCTTCCTTCCTTCCTTCCTTCCTTCCTTCCTTCCTTCCTTCCTTCCTTCCTTCCTTCCTTCCTTCCTTCCTTCCTTCCTTCCTTCCTTCCTTCCTTCCTTCCTTCCTTCCTTCCTTCCTTCCTTCCTTCCTTCCTTCCTTCCTTCCTTCCTTCCTTCCTTCCTTCCTTCCTTCCTTCCTTCCTTCCTTCCTTCCTTCCTTCCTTCCTTCCTTCCTTCCTTCCTTCCTTCCTTCCTTCCTTCCTTCCTCCCTTCCTTCTTTCCTTCTTGTTTTTTCTTCTTTCTCTTTCTATCTCTTCTGTCGCTGTCAACGCACTGTCACCCGCTTGCCGGCCGATTATCGCGATTCACAAGTCATCTCACCGAGCACACAGGCACTATTTTCTCTCCTCCTCTCCCTCCTTCTCTCCCTGTCTCTTCTCTTTGCGATTTTTCCGCGATAGTCGATGTCACGCGTCAAGACACACGCCGGCCGGCTACCTTCTCTTTTTAATTGTTATTCTTGTCCACGCGACTCGCGCTGTCAAACGCGCGTGTTATTTTCGCGCGCGTCGCGAATCTCCCTCTCTCCCTCTCTCTCTCTCTCTTTCTCTCTTTCTCGGGAAAGAGTCCGGGTACGGCCAATCGACGAGAGCAATGCGTACCCCTCGCGACCCCGTGACGGACTGAGGATCGCGCCGGCGGCGCAGCGCCGCCGTGACCCGTGGCGACACCGCGAACTAAACTGCCGCCCGCACAAACGCGCCGCGAGTCTCGCCGGCGGTCCGTTTCGCTTTGCTCTCGTGGCTCGACGCGATGTGACGCGCTATGCTGCGCTGCGATGCACTGCGCTGCGCTGCGCCACGCCACGCCACGCCACGCGGCCTTTCTCTCCTGTATCCTCTTCGTCGATTTTAACCCTGCGCGTGCGGCATTCAAGGGTTGCCTTTTACTCTCTCTCTCTATCCTCTCCCTCTCTCTTTCTTTCCCTCGATCTTAATACATATCGTAAACAAATACGCGGGATGGTGCGTTTGCGTTCGGCGAATTTGTGACGCGCTTTCGAGACGCGCTAACGCTTGGAGTTTGCGCGAGCGCCACCGCGGAGCACATTCTCCTTAATTTATGAGAGTAATAGTTTGATACTCGGCTAAGAGCAGCAGGGAGGGAGATAGACGTAAGCAGAGGAAGAGAGAGAGAGAGAGAGAGAGAGAGAGAGAGAGAGAGAGAGAGAGAGAGAGAGAGAG